CAGCGGGGAGGAGGGAGCTATGGGGTGGAGGTGGAAGTCTGTGCGGGGGGGCCCCCTGTGAGTTCTGGCCAAGGGCTGGGCTGCACTCAGTAGGGTGAAACTATGCAAGGTTCAACAGAGAGCAGTTGCTACCAGGTTAAAGGAGCAAAAGAGGGATACAAAAGGCCAGTCAGTGATGAGAGACATTTGCGTTTCTGACCCTGAGAGGAGAGAGACCTTATTAACACTCAAGGCATCCTGAGATACCAGAAAGGCCACATGTTAGGAGTAAGGACCATGCTCTAGAGAAAGACCTACTCTAAACCTGCCCTAAAAAACTTAAAGCCAAGCTTCAACAAGATCCACAGAGGAGGTCCAGTCTACTGCTCTATTCTGAGCCAGTTAGAAGTATTTGGGGGAATTCCCTGGCAGTCCAGTGGTTAGGACTCCATGCTTTCACTGCCAAGGGCCCAGGTTCAACCCCTGATCAGGAAGCTAAGATCCCGCAAGCCATACAGCATGGCCAAAAAAAAAAAAAAACAGGAATTTCGGAAACACCTTGGGCTTTCCAAAGATCTGCCCTAAAACCAAGCCAACACAAGTTGATCAGTCAGTAATTGAACTGCCTGCTAGAACAAAAATCAACACTCTTCAGAGGAAGATAACAGAATCCTTAGTGTCTACAATGTGCCATCCACAATATCCAGGATGCAATCCAAAATTACTACACATGTAAAGAAACAGGAAAATGTGACTAAAAATCAAGGGAAAGCAGTAAAGAGAAACCAACATCAGATGGCCTGGGGACTTAAAAACAATATAGTCTTTATGACAGAAGAGATAGTGACTTTCTATAGAGAAATAGAAATTATAAAAAGAAACAAATGCAAATTCTAGAAAATGAACCATCAACCCAGAATTCCACATCCAACAAAAACACCTTTCAAAGAAAGAATTAAAGACATTTTTCAAATAAATAAGCTAAGAGAATTTTTCACCAATGACTTGTACTACAAGAAATGCTAAAGGACATTCTTCCAGTTTAAGGGAAACTCATATATACAGAAAGGAATGAAGATCTCCAGAAATGGTAAATACATGGTGAATAAGTTTAAGATACTATGCTTTTATTTCTCCTAACTTCCTTAAAAGGCAACTGACTGTTAAGGCAAAGATGACAATAGTATAAGTAGAACATAAGACAAGTAGAAGTAAAAGATATAAAAATAGCACAAAGGAGAGGATAAATGGAATTAATCTGTTGTTTTTACATTTATGAACTGCTAATTCAGAAATAGAAAGTTAGAAGTAAGAAGTAGTGTCAGATGAAGTGACAGATGGGAAATGTAAAGGTGTTAAGTGAGGGGCAGGAAATAAGAAATGTGAATTATAAAGTGGTACAATATTAAAGTATATTCTGATAAGTTAAATGTTGATAATTTAAGGATGCATACTGTTAGCTGTAAAAATATTATACAAAGAGTATAACTAAAAGCCAATAGACGAACACTAAAAAACAGTCAATAATATACAGGAAAGGATCAAGAGAAGAATAAAAATCAGAAAGATCAAATGGAAAAAAGACAATATGATAGATTAATACCCAACCATATCAATAATTACATTAAATGTAAATGGACTAAACACTTGAATTATAAGGTTGAGATTGTCAAATTTAAAAAAGCAAGACCCAATGATATGCTGTCTACAAGAGACATTTTATGTATAAAGACAGATAGTTTGGAAATAAAATGGTGGGAAAAAGACATTCCATGCAAACAGCAAGCACATGAAAGCTGGTATGGCTATATTAGTATGTGACCAAGAGACTTCATGACAAAGAGAAAAAGAGGGACATTTCATTATGATAAATGGGTCAAATCATCTAGAACACAAAGCAACCTAAATGTGTATGCACCTAATATCAGGTCTAAAGGGACAAATCCTCAATCATAGTTGGAGATTTTAACCCTGTTCTCTCAGTAATTGATAGAAAAAATAGACCAGAAAAACCTGTAAGGATATAGAAAATCTGAACAACACTATCACCCAAGTTGATGTAATTGACATTTAAACCAACGACTGCAGGGGCTTCTCTGGTGGCGCAGTGGTTGGGAGTCCACCTGCCGATGCAGGGGACATGGGTTCGTGCCCCGATCCAGGAGGATCCCACATGCCGCAGAGCAGCTGGGCCCGTGGGCCATGGCTGCTGGGCCTGCGTGTCCGGAGCCTGTGCTCTGCAACGGGAGAGGCCACAGCAGTGAGAGGCCCGCATACAGCAAAAAAATCCTAACCCATACCCTTAGCCTTACCCTAACCTGTGCCCTAATCCTAACCCGTACGCTA